TCGACCGGAGTCGGGGGGGTCCCCTCAATTTTACATGACGTGACATGGATTTTGGAGCCCCATTTCACCATTTCCATGGGAACTTCTCAACTGCGCAACACTTTTTTGAAAATCCCAGGACACCCCACAATTTCACATGACATGAAATAGACCTCTGTTTCAGCATTTCCATGGGAACTTCTGAATTGTTTAAAACCATTCGAAAATTAGCAGCGAGCCCTGTAGTTTGAGGCGAAAGAACAATGTTGTGAAGTCGAGTTGGAAAAACTGGAAAGCATGAAAAAGACGAGGCGGACATAGTTCATGATGTCCACAGGATCTGCAAGTAGGATTTATGCATGACTGTCTTGAGGGTATCCCGTTTGGGTTAAGGGGCAGATCCGGATCCCCGAATAGTTTGCCCCCGAAATCAAAACCAATCGCGGGTTGATGGTTACTCTCTTGTTTTTTGTTCAAATGTATTTTTGGACACATTGATTGTACCCCACCTGTCAATCTCAGCCTCACAACTCGTAGGCTTGCTTGGTTTCCTGTTAGTTCCTCTCATCAAAACAGCCTCAAGAAGGGTTACCATCAGGAGTTTTCACCATGACACCGAGAGGTCTAGAGCTCTGGAGCCCCAAGACAAGCTTCGGTTTGTGGCTCTGTCTCGCCACTCCCAGCCGTTGGAGGCAGTCTTGGTTGAGACGATTGACTTGGTAAACAGCAGGTTGCGGGTTTTGGGGCTAGTCCGCTCAAATTCCAGACATTGCTCATGCGAGCTGCCAGATTGGTGCAGGCTCAGAAAGCTTTGAGCCTCCAGATTCAAGGTGAAACCAAGGAGGCCGGGAGCCGAGCGCACTCGCCACGTCAGTCAGAGCGAGTCCGGAGTTTGCGCGCTTGGACGAACGCGCACTTGCTCGGATGGCGCGCAGTAGGCGACTGCACCGACTCCTTCCGGCCATTGCGAGCCTCACGGCACCCAAAAAATACCTCACGGCCACTATCCGAATGGCCTGGTTCAGTGGCATCCGATCAGGGGTCTATTTTGCATTGTGGGACGAAAACCCACAGAAACGCGTCGCCAATGGGTTCTGTTTGCTAGGGCCGCTGTCCACGCTGAGGTGAAGTGTCAGCTCCAGGAACAACTGACTGGCCATGGGCCCGGTGCGGTTGGGTCGTTTGGTGCCTTGCGCTTAGTTTCACGGTTGCCTTTTCTTGCATCACATTTAGTCGAAACCGCACCGAGTTCGGCAGAAAGAAAGGGTTGCCCTCTGGAGGTTGGCCCGTGGAGCCCACGGAGTCGCGGTTTGAACTCTCTTCCGGTCCCCGAAATGCGGCAAACGAAGCTTTCTCGTGGAAAGACCAATGGGAAAAGAGGATGTCTTACACGTGGCCAACAGGAATTCACCCCGCTGAAGGGGGCTTCCTTGCTTGGGGCGCTTGCACACTCCAACGCCTGAGTGCAGCACCGAGAAATCAGCTCAGACTTCGGGTTTGTCTCGTGGGGGACCTGCTTGGCACTTTGGGGGCTTGCAAGGAGGCTGGTTCCTCTTGGTTGTCACTTATTCCATCGGATTTGAGTTGGTCCCATTGGGCGCAGCACAAATCCCCATGCGGCCAACAGTGATTTCAGCTGATTGCAGGGAACAGAAACCAGCGGGGGTTGTGACAGGAAACAGACTCACATTCCCCGTTCAGGCTTTTTGAACATCACACTCAGGGGCAAGTTCGATCGGGTTTCGGCCGACAACTTGAAAGGGCGCTCTCAGCAACGGACATGCCCAGACTTGGTCCCTTGGGCGCAACACTAATCCCCATTCGGCGCAACGGCGCGATCCTAGCCACTCAAATGCCCAGAGGCTTTTTGAGGAGATGCTTTTTGAGCGGCAGTCGGAAGGGGTGCCGTGCTTTCTTCAGGCGCGGAGCAGTCCATCGTACAGCTGCAAGATGGGCTCCGCGGTTGGGCGGAGCAGCGGATCAAGGAGATGGGTTCCGAGTCCCGCGCTTCGGGAGACGGAGCCAGACATCTATGATGCAGCCTCCCACCAATTGACATGACAGGGGGGTGCTGGAAGACAAGTTTAACTGGATGGGTAAGATGACAATTGAATGAGACTCAGTTGTGATATGCGGATCCAATTTAGCTTTCTTGCCAAGACCGAAAGACCCCAGTACTCAAATACCCAACCGCCCAAAGTGATTGGATGGTTGTAACAGGAACTATCAAATTCACAAAAAGCCTCAAATTCACAAAAAAGTGCACTGCCACAGCTGCCCAATATCTTCCTTATTTATCCTTTCTGGCGGGTTTGTTGGCATCATGGAGTCTTCTTCCGGGTGATATTCTAGGAGGAAGCGTAGGGAGCCCTACGTAGGAAGGATGCCCAACATTGGCTATACAATTTAGCAAGGCTTCGGTCTATCCCTGTAGCGAGTGCCAAGTCCCCAAGTAGCTGCCCTTAGAGTATGCGCCCGAAGAGAAATATGCCATACCATATATATATATACACACATATGCACCCCCCCGGGTGGATCTATCTTTTTGCTGGTTGAAGGCTATTTTGGAGATGAAATGCAGCTATTTTTTATTTGGAATGCCTCATGCGACTTGACCAGTATCAGCTCACCCAAAGCAAGGAATTCTTCTTCAAAATCAAGTTTGGAATAGCAACTCCAATTTTGTGTTATCGTTGAAAAGGACATCCTATTTAAATGATCCTTAAAACTGGATATTCTACTATAATTATTTCCTCATTAGACTCCAGTAAATTCTACATAGAAAGTGCAGAAACAATATCGCGGGAAAGGACGTTTCAACAATGTTCTTCAAAATGGAACATCTATTCAAATCATCTTTACGTCTAGACATTATACTAAATTTGGTGTTGTTCACTTTCAATTTCTACTTAAGGTCTAATTAGAACATTGAACAAATCATCATGGAAAAAGACATCCTTTTGAACATCTATTTCAAGAATTCTAATCATTAAACACCTTTAACAAAAGAACACACACACACACACACTAAGGCAATTTTATTTTCGAGCTAGATATTCTATTAACATTATGTACTTGTCAAAATCTATTGAACTTATGCCAACAAATCAACCCGTTTGAACATCTAGTTTCACAAGAATTTGACTGCACCTCTAGTTCGACAAGGAAATCTGACTAAAATCATCTTTAAAATAGACACTCTACTAGGGTGCTTTCCTTATTAAGTTCCGCGTCAATTCTAATGAGAAAATTGAACAAACACAATCCTAGAAACAGATCCCCTTTTAAACGGCATTTTTCAAATCTATTTTGAGACAAGAGTTCTAATTTATTTTATTTTTATGTTTAATCCTCATCGAATACAAAACACTAAAAAATCAAACTAAACATGTGCTTTTTAAACAAGCATGCATGGTTGCAATAAAGTTCATTGAACAACCAATTACGAGAAATAAGTCCGATTCCTATAAATGTGAGTCAATAAACCCCCAAACCCTACACCCTAAACCTGTCCATTCTAAGCTTAGGTCTTGTCAGAAGATGCAAACCAGCAGCTTGAAAAGGTCAAAATATACAAGTAAAATTATGAAGCCAATAGCCCAAAAGTAAAAAGCGTAAAGTTCTGGAGCGAATGACACAGAAGTAAAAAAGAACAACAACAACAACAACAACAACAACATGTGGAGCCAATGACCCAAGAGCAAAGACAGTACATTTCTGGAGCCAGAGACTAAACAAAAAGAGTAAAGAAGTAAACGTAAAGGTCTGGAGCCAATGACCCAAAAGTAAAAAAGCAAAAACATGTAAAAAGGTAAAAGCAAACAAGTGAAAAAGCAATCAAGGGAAAAAGTAAAAAAGTGAAAACATAAAACATACAAAAGTTAAACAGTAAACAGGTAAAGAATTAAACATGTAAAAACCCATACATAAGTAAAACATATCAGCCCATGGTCCTGAAGTAAACTGCTTTGACCATGGACTGAAATATTGTTCTTTTTCATTTGTTTTTTCAGGTTGTTTTCACCTTTTTACTGTTTACTTTTGGGTCATTGGCTCCAGAATTTGACATTTTTTTCTTTTCTTTTGGGCCATTGGCTCTAACATTTTACTTCTTTACGCTTTCACTTTTGGGCCAATGGCTCCAACATAGCTGTTGTTTTGCATCTTCTGACGAAGCCTCAGCTTAGGAACAGGAGATCCAAACCGACTAGATTCAAGATTCCCCGGACAGTTTGGCCTAAAGCTTTCAGATTGTCTTTTGACATGCGCCTTTTTTTTGCTACTTTCCCCAAAGCCCCAAAAAAGGCACAACACACCGCGAAATACCAGTGAATTCTCAAGGAAGGTAGATCCATGGGGGGGGGGTGCCACATACTTTAGAGCCTCCGGCTCAGTCCGCCGACATTGTCCTCTCCCTTTTCTCCTTCTTCCTCTCTTCCTTGTCTCCCTTGTGTGTTCTGTCGTCCTCTCTCCCTCCCTCTGCTCCCATCCTCCCCATCCCCCCAAGCCTCTCTCTCCCCAATCTCCCTCTCTCGTATGTATGCATGCATGTACATAAGTATGTATGTATGCATGTATGTATGTATGTATGTATGTATGTATGTATGTATGTATGTATGTATGTATGTATGTATGTATGTATGTATGTATGTATGTATGTAATGTAAGCAAGTAAGTAAGTAAGTAAGTACGTAAGTAAGTATGTATGTATGTATGTAATGTAATGTAATGTAATGTAATGTAATGTAATGTAATGTAATGTAATGTAATGTAATGTAATGTAATGTAATGTAATGTATGTATGTAATGTAATGTAATGTATGTATGTATGTATGTATGTATGTATGTATGTATGTATGTATGTATGTATGTATGTATGTATGTATGTATGTAATGTATGTATGTATGTATGTATGTATGTATGTATGTATGTATGTATGTATGTATGTATGTATGTATGTATGTAATGTATGTAATGTATGTATGTATGTATGTATGTAATGTAATGTATGTATGTATGTAATGTATGTATGTATGTATGTATGTATGTATGTATGTATGTATGTATGTATGTATGTATGTATGTATGTATGTATGTATGTATGTATGTATGTATGTATGTATGTATGTATGTATGTATGTATGTGTATGTATGTATGTATGTATGTATGTATGTATGTATGTATGTAATGTAATGTATGTATGTATGTATGTATGTATGTATGTATGTATGTATGTATGTATGTATGTATGTATGTATGTATGTATGTATGTATGTATGTATGTATGTATGTATGTATGTATGTAATGTATGTATGTATGTATGTATGTATGTATGTATGTAATGTAATGTATGTAATGTAATATAATGTAATGTAATGTAATGTAATGTAATGTAATGTATGTATGTAATGTATGTAATGTATGTGTATGTATGTAATGTAATGTAATGTAATGTAATGTAATGTATGTATGTATGTATGTATGTATGTATGTATGTATGTATGTATGTATGTATGTAATGTATGTATGTATGTATGTAATGTATGTATGTATGTATGTAATGAATGTAATGTATGTATGTATGTATGTATGTATGTATGTATGTATGTATGTATGTATGTATGTATGCATGTGCATGCATGTCATGCATGCATTCATGCATGTGTATGTATTTCCCGCAAAAAAACACGGTGTTTCTAGCGTTTTCGCAAAGAGGACGTCCAAAAACATTGAGTTTTTCCAGATTTTCGGCAAAAGGATGCAGGAAGCCCAAGCCAGCAAAAAAGCCGGCAGGGGAATTCGAGCCTGGGACCCCTGTTTTGCGACACCGGCTCCCCGAAGACTACGTTTAGTGGAACGTCATCAAATTGCCGCGCGGTACGTGGGGGACCCCCCCCCCCCCACCCAAAAACCTACGTAATAGACGTCGGGCGGGGGGGGTTAGGGGGGGGGTTATCCTCTATCCTCTAGTAAGTATCCGACACGCCGAGCAATGTCGGCGGATATATATATATATATGTATATAGAGCCAGATGTAGATTGGCACCGCCAGTTGAAAGGGGACCGCAAATTCACGGTATAAAGCATAATTGCCAAACCCCTCCCCTGTGGCGGGACATTATTGATCCTTCGAGCTGGATGCAATCGGGGATCTTTTGAGGCCCTCGAGTCAATCTACCCAAGGCCTCGAACCCCTGAGTGTCGGAAATGGTGCCCCTTCTTGGCTGGTTTCAAAGAGACACAGCCCCTCCCTTTTGGCACCCGAGAGGGTTTGGAGGTCGAACCAAGTTTGTAAATGTTGTTTGATGCCTTGCAAACTTTCGTTGCGACCCATTCCATGTCTGCAACACCTATACCTGGGCGGAATACTTGGAGTCCCAAAGGGCGGTTCCTTTTTTTGGGCTTCTTGCACAGCCTCCGGCCTGTTTTGTTTTGTTTTTTTTTTGCTGTTTTTTTCTGTTTCGTGAAGGAACTCTTGGCTTTTCTTTGGGCCGGAAACGGATTGGAAGAACTTGCCCCTTGCTTTCGGCCATAGATCCAGGCCAAAGGTACAGACGCCGCAGACACTCTGCCACGCCAATCTCAGGGTGCTCAGAATTAGGAGAAAGTTGGTTTCCTCTTAGTTTGCCGAACACAGCCAAAAAGGGGTCCTCTATATTTTGAGACAGACCCATGGAAAAACCTCGGAAAATGGTGTTCCAAAATTTGGATTCCCTTTGCACCAACTTTCAACACGGGTGCCCACGACATCGACCTCCCCGAACTCTCTTTGCCCTCCGAACGTCAGCTTCCGCAGGACTCGGAGGTGGGGACGCAGTCCTGGGTGGAGGCGCCGGTCCGATTCGGCGGTTTGGCTACCTCGGGGACCCGAAGGCCTTCCCCCAATATGTTCAACAGGAGGACGGCGGACAAGAGACACGGTAGGAAAAAAACCCTGCGAGGGGGGGGTCTGATCCCGTTTTTTCTTTGGGGGGGTGGTCCTGCATTTGATGGAGAGTTGGCGTTTTGCAAGCTTCATGCAATCAGGGAGTCGGCAATGATGGATTAGATGTTGTTCTTTTGTCACGGAAACTCCACCTGCACCGGAATGAGAGGATGCCCCCCTAAGCTCTGAACCACCAATCCAGACCAACAACTGGTGAGGTGAAGGGTGAAGGAGAAATTCCGGGGGTCGTGAAAGAGGTAACTTTGAGGACAATGATAACAACAGCTGATGTGGCCAGCCTGATTGCGAGCATTTGGCAGGTTTCACCCATGGGCACTACTTTTGAAATCGCTTGGGGTTGGCAAATGTCGGGTTCCCAAGACTTCTGATGGAACAGCCTCAGGTGCCGTGATAAACCAACTACCCAAAAACCGTGTCCCTTCGGACACCTGGACCCCAGAAAACCCCCAGGCAGCTCTCCTAGGGCCGAATGCCATCCCTCTCGAGGCCTCCGTGGCGGGTCGCGTCACCGCGCTGGCGCGGGGGGGGGGGGGGGAAGGGACGGAAGAGGTCGGAAGAGGTGTGCTGATTTGGCGGGGGGCTGCTCAGCAAAGGGTTGGGGGGAAAAACCACCGCGAAATGACCCCGAGGACAAGCTATTGAAGAAGGAGATGGCAGAACGAGCCTCCACCAACGAACAGATCCTGGGCATGATCACTCACAACTCGGAGAGGTGGTGTCAGCTTCAGGCGCAGGGGCAATGGGAAGCATGTCGGGGACAACTTGACAACCAAGGCACGCTCGTATTGTTTTGTTGTCCCGTGCTGTCCAGTCCTGTTCCGTTTTGTTTGTCTGTTTGTCTGTCTGCCTGTCTATGTCTCTGTCTTTCTGTCTTTCTGTGTCTCTGTCTTTCTGTCTCTCTGTCTCTCTGACTTTGTCTGACTCTGTCTGACTCTGTCTGACTCTGTCTGTGCGTCTGTCTGTCTGTCTGTCCGTCCGTCGGAAACCCCTTTTCGGTCCGCTTTGAGTCATGGCCGCAAAAGGTCATCGCCATTTACTTCTGGGTTCCAGAGAATCGAATCCAAATCTTCACATCCTACGGGCCGTTGTTTTGAGGCAAAGCTTCGGTACCCGTGGGCTAGGTGAACGGTCCCATTCCCATTTTCACGAATACCCAATGCGCAACTCGATTCAGCTCTATGGGAGACCCGCTCAAGCTCCATCCAAATTGTGAGTCCTGGGTTCCCGGAATCATACCTTCCGTTTCGAGCTTAGGGCCGCGGCTCAAAATTCAGGGGCCCAGGGGAACCGCAGGCTTTGGTCCACTTCTCCACTTACCGTGCCATTGTGACCCGCTTTTCACCCCCGATGTTTCAGCCGAACCCATTCCAAGCGCTGAAAGCTGGATGACGCCTTGGTTTGAGCCCTCCGAACCCGGGAGAAAGGGACCATCTCCGATCCCTAGGGAGTCCAATGTCACGCGAGACATAGTGAGGCTCCACATGGCGCCCTTTGCAAAATCTCTCCCAGGTAGATGAATCGCAGGGGCGAGACAACAACGTGGATCTGTTTGTTTCTCCTTTAGGCTTGGTTTGCAGGGAAATCAAACAGAAACCCGAGCCCCATTTTGGAGTCCCCCTATTTTGACACAGACCCATTGGCAGTTGGGACAGGTGGAGATAGTCAACACGGTTCGGCGTTGTTAGCTTTCACTTTTTGTTTTGCCCGTATGCTGGATGCCCTTCCATACATTGCAAGTTAGCCCAATTGTGCATTCGGTAGCACCCTTCTAGCTTTCAAAAAACAGGCCGGATAAGATGCACCACCAAAAGCCACAGTCAAGTTCAATCAGGTTCCGAAACTTTCCTTACCTGCTTGCACCCAGTGCTACCAGTGGCAGGCAACCAGGGTTCTGCACTTCTAGGTTTTGCATACTCCCTTGGTTACCTATGGTGACTGGAAGCACTGGGTTGAATTCAGGGAATTCAGCCGCTGCAGTTTCAAAGCCTGGTGCTTTGAGGGAACCCTTTGGGGAAGCCTTTTTGGGTGTGTTTTAAAGGGACACCAAAGGGGACCCACATTTTGGGTACCCCCCAGTTACAGACAACCTGTCTTGGGGAAGACCAACATCGCTCCCGAGACTGTGGGGTGGGTCCCAAAGATCGAAGAATCAGCGGGACACCGTTTTGTCTGTGCCATGGGCTTCGGTTCGGGGTGGGTTAGTTTGACCGGTTCCCTTTTCATACCAGCATTCCCACTCGGCGACCTGGGCTGCATCGAAATCGATGAAACCACCTCCAAATTCCTCCCCACTGAAATACATAAAGACGCCTGGTTAACTACGCCAAATCGGTGATACCTCCAAATCGGAGATACCCCTGGTCACTCCAACCTACTCCAACTTACAAAAAGCACCTTAAAATGGCTTCCCTGGTTACCTTAAGCAACCAACCGAATCAGAACGTAGCAGCCGAACGCCCCTGAAAAAATGCCTGCGCGGGACTACGCCGACCATTTTCCGAAGGGCGGGGCGCCAAGCCTCTGAAGCTTCCCCTGGAAGGGCCCTGGTTGCCACAGCTGGGCTGAAATGTACGTCTTCATGAGGTTGCTTTCAGGGCGGTCGTCGACCCCGGATTTTAGACAGTTTTTTTTTTTTTTTTTTTTTTTTTTTTTTATGCACACTGACATATTTCTGGTCGCAACAAGATTTATGTCGAGCACAGCTCCCTCTTTCAGGCCAAGTTCGACGAAGTGCTGATCTTCCTCCAGAAGGGCATGACGGTGTCAGGCCGCTTTGGTTGGGTTGTCACAAGCCCAAGAACCCTCCGAAAGCGCCACAAAAAAAACGAAAACGCGAGGTCGCAGTTTCCAAAACTCGTAGAGGAAGCTCGCTTCAACTTGGCGTGAAAAGGTGACGCCTTTGAAAGCCACTGGGCAGGCCTTCGGGGTTTGGGGGGGGAGAGGGGCATTTTTTTGCTCAATGGCAAATGGTTGCAGTAGGGCCCCAAAGCCCGCCCCACTTAGGACTCTATTCAAATATGTAGGATAACCTTCTCGAAGGTAAATCACGCCACTATTCTCTGACTCTGGCAGATATGACAGGGGTACCTCGCGTACCTGCAACTTCCCCCAGGCTTGTCAGTATGGGTATGTCACATATGTCTGTTCTTGAGTTCGCATCTTTTTGGTTGCTTCAAAGGGAATCAAAATCTGAATCCCATATTTTGAACAATCCCTTATCAGGATCGCGCTGAGAGACGGCCGGTGCGTTGTGCATGGCGTTGGTGTTGGCCTATTAGATGATAGCATCGGCTAGCTGAAGAGGGGAAAGTCGATGCCCCCAAAGCCATTCAAATGGGTGGCCAAAGATCACCCAATTGAAGCCATTCAAAAACTTTCAAACCAAGCCTCACAGCCAGTACCCTCACTGCGAAGCAGCCACTTTAGGGTTCTCGATCTCGAGATAGGCTTTGAGTACATGTTTCATTATACTTTCCAAACCTGACAGAACCCAACAAAAGCGATATCCTTCACGGGGTCCGATTTCTATTTTACGCTCAGCTCCTTTTCGAACGGTTGAACTGGGCCACTGTGGCTGGAAGGATATTTTGACTGACTCATTGACAACCCCAGAATGTCCCGCTTGGTTTCTATTTGGTTTCTGTTTGGTTCTCTCTATCCTTTTGGCTACCCTGCTTTTCCCCTTTAAGCCTTTGTGCCTCTCTTGCCTTCCCCTTGGTTTCGCTTTGGCTTCTTGAACTTCTGATACTTCTGTTCAGTTTGCCTTTGGCTGCTGTTGCTTCCTCTTCTTTTCTTTCGTTTTTCATGTCAGGCTTCCTTTTGGTTCCTTTTTGGTTTCCCCTTCCTCTTCTTGATTGTTTTTAGCTTTCTTTGGTTTGCGGATTTTTGTCTTCTCTTTGGTTCCCTCGCTTCTCTTTGGTTTTCGTTTGGTTTCTGTTTTTTCTTGACTTCTCTTTGTCCTCCAGTCGCTTTTGGTTTCCCGCTGTTTTTTCTGTTTTTTCCGCTGGGTTTACTTGTTCATGGGTTTCCCGGTTTTCTTTCCTTTTTCCCTCCGATTTTGGATTCCCCCTTTGGTCTCCTTTTGTTCCTCTCGTTTTCTTTGAGTTGCCCTTTGGGTTCTCTTTGGTTTCCATTTTAGTTTTCCGTTTGGATTTTCCCTCATGATTTCCCCTTTTGATTGTCCCTTTGCCTATGACTATTGATGTTTGCCTTTCCCTTTGGTCGTCCTTTGGTTTCCCTCGGGTTTCCTTTTGGTTTCCCTTTCGTTTGCCCTTTGAGTTTCTCTTTTGGTTTTCCATTTAGTTTTTGCATTTGGCTACCCTTTGGATGTTTTCGCTTTGGCTCCCCTCTTAGACTCTCCCTTTCGTTTCCCTTTGGTTCCCCTCTGTCCTCCACTCGGAGAGGTAGCGATGCCGGAGGCCAGGGACGGAGCGACGGAGCGCTTGGGAGGACTCATGTCACCCTAAACTGCCAGGCCTTGAAGACACCGAGGTTAAGCACCACAAACTGCGCACCTTGTTTGTCCTCCAGCGGGTTGCTCTGCTTGAAGAATGCAGTTTCGACTAATCTGGAGGCAAATGAGCAATGAAGGTCGGGTGCCACACAAGTCTGTATATCCGGGGCCCGAGGCGAATTGCGGTTTGACGACACTTTTTCCGGGAAAGGAAGTTGTTCCTGGACGTGCAGAAATCTGGGGGTCAACAGGTACTCCCAGCCAAACTGAACATGGAAACCAAAAGAAGGCTTTCAGCGTGAAACAGATCGGAGGCATCTTTTTAGCGTACGGAAGATCAAAGCCGTAGTTTTATTCTCTGGGTGTGTCTCAAGAACCGAAATTCCGCAAGATGGCGTATGGCAGTCCTTTTGGACGCCGGCCAAAACGGGGTGGGTACCTTAGAGCAAGCCACCACACCCCATTACTTTCAGATGGAAGCCACCTAGCTTTTCAAAGCACCTAGGCGCAGGCCAGAGCGTGGGTCAGAATCAGGGACTGCTCTAGGACGGAAAAAAATTGACCAATCTTCAGGGGTGGGCCAACTTCCAAGCCCGTTTCGCTCATCAGGCAGCGACGGAGGATCAATGTCTCTGGGCAGATCCGCGGAAGACCGATGCAGCTTGGCCTGGATGCATCAGTGATGCCGATTCTTTTTTTCGGGGCCGACCTCATTTGTCTCAACTCATTGATCGCAACCTGCTATTCCACATAAAGACCACAGTCTGGCCTGTTCAGTTGGCACAGTTTGAACTTGCTGGCAGGCTTCTTGTTCATTTCAGCAAAGGGCCAAGAGCTTGCTGCCTGCGCAGTTGTAGCCACGATGCCGGAATCGGTTTCTGGTTGAACAGGTTGACTGCAACCGTGCAGCCTGACGAATTCGCCGGCGGGGCCCCTTTTCTTACTTTTCTACAGGGAGGTTGCCCTTTGCCCCACCCAACTAGCAACCACTCCACCCCACCAACTAACCAGCACAAAGGTCGCCCAATGCGTTTTACCGAAAACCTCCAACTTTGGGGACTATATGAAAGCTCCAAGTCCATCCGAGCACTCTGTTTAGAAACCTGAGACCCATAGCAA